ATCTTCACTAACATCTCGAACATTTTAAGATCAGAATTTAACTCATCTTTTCTGTTTTCAATAATTTCATAGCGATTAGTAACAAGAACACTTGTGTTTTGAGTACTTGATGACTTCGAGACTGACTTGGTTTCTAAAGCTTTATTCTGCAAAACATTGTTCCATGGATTATTAATTGTATTAATTCTTGGATTATTCATTTCGCCAAAAGTAATAAACAGGTAATCATGACGACGCGATGTAGCAAGAAATCGTGGAAAAAACAATTGGTTGGTTATAGTATATTCTTTTATTAGATGTTTGCACAACATATAAGGACTATATAAGAATGCAGCGCATGAGCAAATCCAAGTGTTTATATCTGTATGATAATGGTTTATCATACTTATATCTTTTTGTAGTGCAGAATTCCAATCATGCTTGAATATATCCCACCAAGATGGAAATTCACGATTATATCTGAACCTTCTCCAGGTATTTTCCATATCTGAAACTAATTCCTTCGTAATAATATATGTTAGATGGTCTAGCCATAATCGATTTAAATTATATTTATAGTTGTATTTAAGGACACACCAATGTGATTCAGTAATCATAGTAGTTCTGGCAATAGATATTACTTTGGGATAAGCAGCCCGTACAAATAGATTCCAATCTTTTGTATTATACCAGTTTATCCACAAATATCCCCATAAATTAACAAGATTTTTGTTATAACAAAATTGATAAATTTCCAAAACACTTTGGTATCTAATTTCATCCGATGAAAGGAAGGTATTTTGGTCTATTGGAATAAGTGGATATAACAAAATATGTTTTTTAATAATTTCTAATAATTCTTTTATTAATTCTTTAGGACATATTTTGCCTTGTATTTCTTTAGGAAACCAAGTTGGATTAATAAATGAGAACTCACATCCTGTGCTTTTTGTGCAGTATAAAGACTTTTTCGGGCCTTTTTTGCCTTCAGTTTGCATTCAATAGCCTGTTCTATATGCCAAAGGCAAAGCTGAATTATTGCTATTTGAGACCAAGCTTTCTGAACAGCTATAATTTCTTCAGAATTTTTATCCAAAAGAATAAATGCTAGATGAACCCCTTCATTTCGCAAGTTGATGAAAAATTCTTTAAGTATATCAACTCTTGTATGCATAATATTATTAGGATCTGATAGCAGTTCTTCTGGTGCAGAATATGTGTCTACATATAAATATGCAAGAGGAATTCCGTATCCACCACAATTAGCATTTACCATGAATAGCTCAAACTGTTCTTGGTTAGTTTTGAAAGTTGAATCAATAATAACCTCACTAATGTAATCTTTTATTTTGTAGAGGAATGGAGTAGCAAACCCAAGTGAATGAACAAAATCATTTTCTCGATATTGAATGACTTTATATCCTGCATCTACTAATTTTTTTTGTTCCAAAAAATTTACAGCAGATTTTACTTGGTTAGCTACATCAGTTACATATAGCTTTCTTGAAAATTTATGTGCTCAGTAATATATCTGCTGATAAGTATGAAGAGTTGGGTTAACTAAATTTTTATTACAAAGCTGTTTGTAAAATTCTATTTTTCATGAACTTTGATTATTATATCATTGTATCCATTCAATAGCATCTGATGGTAATTTTGTTTCTCTATATGTAGGATGCTGGTAGGCAATTAAATGCCGCACGAATATAGTAGCTTTTTTTTCACATAAATCTACCCTAATTATGCTACTACTATCACATTGGAAGCACATTATAGCAGGTCGTATCTCACTTATTCGTTTTGTAGTTTGGTCTTCACTATTTTTATGTTTGCGATTGATTCTTTGAGTGCAACCTAAATGAGCTATTGCACATCCTGTATATTGACCATTTTTCTTACCCATATACAAATTTTTTAGCTCCCAATAATATCTTGATCCTTCTTGAAGAGGAAAAAGCAATGCTTTTAAAATACTACAAATTTTTTTTTTATCCTTTTTATCTAATTCTAGTGATAACATTTCATTCTGATCTAATTCAGATGATAATATTTCTTCATGATCTAACTCTGGTAATAACATCTCTTCATAATCTAATTCTGGTGCTAATAATTCTTCAAAATTTGATTCTGATAAGAATGTTTCTTCATTAATCAATTCATTTTCTATCTTTACTATTGTAGAGAATTCGACCTTGCTATCATTTTCTTCGCTATTTTTAAAATGAATGGCTATAAGCTCTTCAATATCACAAATTTCATAAAGAAGTTCACTGCTGTTTTCATGATTATCAGTATTAATATGTATATTATCTAAGGATTTATTTTGTATTTCAACTTCAAGTTTTTTTATTTAATCGATTTTGTTTTTGTCGTTCTGAATATTTATTGCATGTAGATCCTATTATTATTCTATTTCCACACCGTCTTGTAAATTCTGAAGCTGGTTTAATTTTTCCACATCCAGAACAATCTTTATCATCAATGTTAGTAGTTTCATTTGATGTAGACATTTTAATTTTTTCTGTAATCTTTATGTGATGTTTTTGATTAGATAAAAGGAGGTTAAAAAGTACTACTTAAATACTTTCTCAACTATTATACCTAATTTTTTCACCGCAACTTATAATTTCTTTTTTTTATATTTCTTGCTATCTTGTAAATATTACGCCATATTTAATTTTTATCTTCTGATAATAAAGACTTTTAATTGTACAATTATGCTCTCATGCATTGTTCTGCTTGGCTTTAATATTAAAAGAACAATTCAAATTAAGATAAACAAATGTATATACTTACTTATTTAGGCAGGGCTTGGAGAATTGTTAAATATAATCCATTTTTGGATAATTATTCAACCTGCTGTAACATGAGCTTTTACTTTTCGCATTACCAAATTCGATCTTTGATAATATACGTATAGCAAAAATGGCTATGTCTTGAATAATGCCTATATTTGAATTATGCCTTTGATAATCTAACTATAATGGCTAAGTAATAGTTAACTACTTTATATGGAAGAGTGTTATTAATTTTTTGCCTAAAATAGAAGCCACGGCGAACTTTGTAAAAATAATATTGGCTTGTATTTAAAATAAAGCCATTTATAAATATTCATTATTGAATATGATTATTCCAATAATAGCTCAATATTGTAATTTTTGTACCTTGGATAATTAGTACTCAATTAGCAAATTTGGTCTGATGGCTATCGAGATGTTTTCGCTCAAAATTGGAGAAAACCCAAAAACGTTTATCAAAATAGAAGTGGTACCCAATTTTTTTAAAACTTTGAATGATGGTATCTCTACAACTACCAGACCAAATTTGACAATTTTTTTTTTATTTTGCATTCTATAGATCTATAGAATTCAAATAAAACTAGTACCACTGAATTTGGTTCAATGGTTGTCGAGATACCTTCGCTCAAAGTTGGAAAACCCCACAAAACACCCATCAAATAGAAACTGCGCTCAATTTTTTTAAAATTTTGAACGATGGTATCTCTACAACCACCAGATCAAATTCAACTATTTTTTTTTATTTGAATTCTATAGATCAATAGAATTCAAATAAATGTAGTATTATTGAATTTGATCTGATGGTTGTCGAGATACCTTCGCTCAAAGTAGAAGAAAACCCAAAAACACCCATCAAATAGAAGCTGCGACCAAATTTTTTAGAATTTAAATGATGGTATCTCTACAACCACCAGATCAAATTCGACAAATTTTTTTTTTATTTGAATTCTATAGATCTATAGAATTCAAATAAAAGTAGTATCATTAAATTTGGTCTGATGGTTGTTGGGATACCTTCGCTCAAAGTTGGAGAAACCCCAAAAATACCTATCAAATAGAAGCGTGCTCAATTTTTTAAAATTTTAAACGATGATATCTCTACCACCACCAGATCAAATTCGACGAATTTTTTTTTATTTGAATTTTATAGATCAATAGAATTCAAATAAATATAGTATTATTGAATTTGATCTGATGGTTGTCAGGATATCTTCGCTCAAAGTTGGAGAAAACCCAAAAACGCCTATCAAAATAGAAGCTGCGCCCAATTTTTTTAAAACTTTAAATGATGGTTTCTCTACAACCACCAGACCAAATTTGATAAATTTTTTTTTATTTGAATTCTATAGATCCATAGAATTCAAATAAAAGTAGTATCATTGAATTTGGTCTGATGGTTGTTGGGATACCTTTGCTCAAAGTTGAAGAACCCAAAAATGTCTATCAAAATCGAAGCTGTGCCCAGTTTTTTAAAACTTTGAATGATGGTATCTCTATAACCACCAGACCAAATTCGACAAATTTTTTTTTATTTGAATTCTATAAATCCATAGAATTCAAATAAAATTAGTATCATTAAATTTGGTCTGATGGTCGTCATGATACCTTCGCTCAAAGTTGGAGAAACCCGAAAATGCCTATTAAAATAGAAGCTGCGCCCAATTTTTTTTAAACTTTGAACAATAGTATCTCTACAACCACCAGACCAAATTTGATGAATCTTTTTTTATTTGAATTCTATAGATC